CGAATATTTTAGACTTTAGAATTTTATCGCGAAAAAAAGAAAGAAAAATAACCGAAGTAAACAACGTATGTAAACGAACATGCACATACCTGGCTTCCGTTTCAATAATACCGTGTCAATAATACCGTGGACACGTTTTCAGAGCACGTGAATCGTCCTCGAAAAATAAATTAATAATCTTTTTTAAAATGAGTCGCGAGATTTGTTACCGGTTCCACGTCCTTGACTTTTCGAAGTATTGCGAAAGCGTAGCCGGCTCATCTAGGACCCTTTCGTAGGAAATCGTTTTATCCTTGAACCTCCGCCACCAACGGGACACGCCAACGAATTATTACCCTTTTATTACTCTCGCCTAACATATATATATATATATATATATACACACGTATAGGACGAAAGGATCTATAGAAGGATAACTAGATCGAAAGGATCCAGCGAGACAAGCGTGGATGGAAAATCTTTGGAATTCAAACTAACGCAGTTTCGCGCCGTTTCTTCGTATTATTGCTCCGACAAATTGTTACAATTTTATACACTTTGGAAAGATACTTTCCAAGTATTCGCTAGTTACGTGGATCCACCACGTAATTTTCAATCGAGATTGTTTCCAATAAGAAAAATTGTTCCAAGAAGCAAGAGAAATTTTTGCGGCGCGCATAATGCGCGCTTTCAATCGCGCGAATCGCACGAATCGAAATTCGTGTTCCCGCGGTTCTGGGAAATCGGCGATCGTCCAGCCGTATCGCGGTATTTTTTTCTCACTTATCCAGATCGTGCACATAAATAAATAAACGTAAAAAGCGAGATCTTGCTAAATATTCGCACCTTATGGACGGATCTTATTTTTATCGAAGCGAAAACAAGTAACAAGTTTCCCGGACAATCGATCGGGGATCGATCGTTTATTTGAACTGGTACGCGGTGTTATTCTCACTTCAAACTCCACGCGCATAAAATACGCGATTTTGATACGCGCTTTTCTTGGCAACGCGGAATATTTCTTTCCCGCGCGCGTGTCCGTGACATTATGATAAGCAGATGGAAACCATTTCTTGGAATTGTTTTTATCTTCGCTCGCGCGATTACGAATTAAATTAAAAATTCAATTTTGACAAATTTTTCACAAATCGCCATAAATGTACAAATTTCTTCAAACTTTTCCATCGCGTCCTCTCTCTCTCTCTCTCTCTCTCTCTCTCTCGAAAAATTGAGAAATTTCACGGAGATAAACTGCTCGATCTTTCGAAGCACGATTGAAATATCGATCCGCGAAAGTAAGCGGAATTACGATAATTTGGCAAACTTTCGTTCGACGGAAGAGAAAAGGGGGGATAAGGGAGGAATAATTGGATCGAATCGGCCACGTGTCCATGGTGTACGCGGGTCGGTGGACGAACTGGTCGATTCTGTAACGGCGCGCAAAGTGCAGCGGCAGCAGGTGTCCGCGGCAATCACGGCAAATGCGCATTCCTGCGAGCCAATTTACTAGCTTTCTCGAACTCGCCACTCGGTCGTGCTCGTAACAGGGATCATTTGCATACCGCGGCAATGCTGCCCCGCGGAGACGAGCCGGCGGCGGCGGCGGCCACAATGAGACCGTTTGGATCGCTCTCACGTACCACCGCTGTCCTTTCCTTCGAATTTCGATATCGCGCGAAAAACGCGCGACCAGCATGCGAATCGAATCGCCGCGAATCCACCGCCGCGCGAAAAATCCACGCCCCGACCTCTCCTTTCTTTCCCTTCTTTCTTCTTTCTTTTCCTTCCCCTGCCCTCTCCCCCCACCCTTTTCTCCCGCGTTTCTCGCGCCTCCCCCTTCTCCTTCTCCGCGCCTCATTGTTTCCAACCAAGTCGAGAATGCGTTTCCCGCTTTATCGCGCACCACCTGTGCAACCGCTCGCCCATTGCTCGGCCATTTCTATGGCACGCGCGCGGATTGTGGATGAGACGATCGAAAATGATTGCCTCCGATTACTTCGATTCTTCGAGCGATTTTATTAATTTTAATTATTAATTTTCAAGATAAAGTCGGAGAGTTGATGGAAGATGTATCATTTTAATTAAGGAAACGAAATGAAAGTTCTTCTAAAGAGCTTGGTCTTTTTTTAATTGAACGCTAATTCGAATAATCGAAACGAGGTTTTCTTTTCTTTTCTTTTTTTCTCGAATCCTTGGAGGGTTAAACTCGAGATCGAATCGTGACGGAATTACACGATCTTTGGTGAAGCGTTGGCGTAAGTAAAATTCTTATACGTTCGTTTCTTTTTTTTTTTTTTTTTTTTTGCTTTATAATCGATACGACACTCGTGCGGTAACTTTTAATCGAGTGTGTGCACCGACGCTTTTTGCTATTCAGCTATTTCTATTTAAATGAAGGTCAAACAGGTAATTTGTACAAGGCGTGTGAACTATGATAATGCGATAGCCTACTCAACCGAGCCAATAACGCGATACGGAAAAGCAAGTAACGCGAAGAGTTCGCATTGAATGCAAATTGTCGTGAATTATGACACACGTTCGTGGAAATTTCTTTTCAAACAAGTTGTAACAAAATTATATTATAGTCTATACTCGTTCCTTAATTAGATTGCCAGCATTTACATTAACGCGAATTATTCCCTCGTTCGATTCGTTCTATTCGCGAATTAACAAACACTTCGATAATAATACTTTCGATTAGTTTCGACGATTTATAATCTTTTCTCTCTCTCTCTCTCTCTCTCTCTCTCTCTCTCTCTCTCTCTCTGAAAAGTTCGTTTTGAAAAGAATAAGAGAAGGGAACGTCGATCGAGACGAAATTTTCTCGAGAAAACTCTCGTTGTTGATATACTTAATTTCTACTTGATATCCAGCTCGACTTGGACTGCGCAACTGGAAACCGTGTTTTCTGCGATTTTTCTTAAGTAACATCGATCGCGATCCGTCACGCGAATGTCTCAATTCAGAAGCGTGTAGCGGAGGATGAAAAATACGAGCCACAGGTATCGAGTACACACCGTACTATTTATAGGTATCTACGATCGCAACTGTTTCTCTGTTTCAACCAATACCTGTTAAATAAATCATTGGCCGGAATGATGCCTCGTTTGTAACGTAAACTTGTCTAATAACAGTCTGATGAATTGCTTTGTAGAAAGAGAGAAAAAAAAAAAAAAACGCATAGATGTTTATCCGTCTGAGAATTGCCGCCTGACCAGTTTATTAATCATTGTTGTTTTATTATCGTTCTCGCATTGTCTCGCATCGCAGATGCTTATTCCCACGTAAACCCTTTGCAAACCAGAAGAATATAATTCCTCGTAATAAATACAACAATAATTCGACAACAATGTACACCTCTTGTAAAATAAAATTTCTTTAAATGTCGTGTCGTATCGTTCGAAAAATTCTCTTTGTTTAAAAAAAAAAAAAACAGAAGAGTAATAAATAGAATAATAATTGATAATAAATACTCCAATAATATACGCTTCTTCTGAAATAAAATTTCTTTAAATGTCATATCGTTCGAAAGATTCCCTTTGATTAAAAAAAAAAAAAAAAACAGAAGAATATAATTCCTCGTAATAAATACAAGAATAATTCGATAATAAATATTCCAATAATATACGCTTCTTCTGAAATAAAATTTCTTTAATTGTCGTGTCGTATCGTTAAAAAATTCTCGTTCGTTAAAAAAAGAAAAAAAATCTCCAGATTTTTCTTTTTCTTATCGTGCCACCCGACAAGAGCAGATTTACACGGTTCTAAATTAACGGCCCTAAATTAAATACCGATACAATAACGGTGCGGTGTTATTCGCCGTTCAAGGTGCAAATTTCCCGGTTTGAAAATACGATCCCATACTTTCACGTTGGCCTCCCCGTTCCAATGCCTGGATATCGCCTATCGCGCTCCATGGAAATAATATTCTTGACATTAATATGACCAATACGCGGCTGAGCCACGGTATTGCGACAGTTCATGCTAATGCATGTAAAACGCCTCTATTTTTGTCACACACCGCGCGACTTGTTAAAGGGAGAGAAGTGTAATTATTACCGCATGAATAATTAAAGCGGTTCCCGATAATTATGATAAACAAGTGTCATAACTTCTTCCAAGTTTCGATTACGTTACGAAATGAAACGTTACGCGTCGTGTCCACCAACGATCGACATATATATATATATAAATATATAACAACCACGCGCCTTTTAACGCGTCCATCCCTTTTTCTACGTTCACCCGATGAAATTTCTCGAGAGAATCTCGTCTCTTCTCTTTTCTCCTCTCGTTCGGATTCGCGATTTAATCAAGAACAATCGATCGATCGACGTGCAGGGAGAATCGATTAAACGCGCGAAACGTTGGAACGGCGACTTAATTGCAGGGCCAACGGTGTTGGGAAACCGACTGAGCTGTCGCCTATATATCGGCCAAGTGAACGGCTGCTCTCCCCTCGATTCGAGAAAAAGAGAGAGAGATAGAGATAGAGAGAGAGAGAGAGAGAGAGAGAGAGAGAGAGAGAGAGAACGAACCAACAGAGCTCGAGATTCTTAAATAGTTAATATTCCTGAAGGTTGCCTATTAATAATACCAAGTGGCAGCCCATGCTGAGTAAACACGCAATCGTTCCCCCCTCGTGCAACACGCTCCACTTGTGGAATCGAATCGGGGATAATTGGGTATCAAGCCCGATTCATACATTCTGAAACGCGAATGCTTCCATTCCATTCCATTGGATATCGATCGAGACGAGTGTCTGCCTCGATCAGATTTCTTTCTAGAAACCTATTTCTTTCCAGAGACGAAATAGATTTGATAATTAAGATTTAGAGAATTCGATGATACAACAACAGGAATCTCGATCGACTTAAGTTAATTCGAGCAATTCGAAGGCAATTCGAATAATCGGAGATCGATTTTCGACTCAAAGGAAACAAAGGGTTACGATATCTAGAGATCTCGAGAAATAAGATTCGATTTCGACCCGAGATCCAATTCATCGTTGTGAATTTCAGTGCACGAGATGAGACCGGAAGACATCGGGATCCTCGCGTTCAGAGGCGATCCCGACAAGCAACCATTCATGGTTGGTTACTTCAAGAGTTCCGGCATCAGAGAGTCGAAGGTGCGACAGAAACGGGACGCCAGGAGAAGAAAGAAGAGCGAGTCATCGAGCCTGGATTATCGGAACAATCCGTACACCGGTAAGTCCGTAATCGTGAATTTTGTTAACTTGGCGCATCGAAACAGAAAGGAGACTCGTTTTTCATTCTCTCAACCGGTGCTATATCGCGAAGAGAAAGGAGAGAATATATTTACATATGCAGGATACGCGTGCGCGTTACAAGTAAGATTAATTTTATCCCTATCTGATTTTTGTTTCGACCATTCAAAATTGAACGATTAGACGCAAGAAAAGATACATATATCTTTATATATCGAAGGACGTTTTAACGGCGAACTGTGCTTTGCCGTTTTCAAAAAAATTGAAAGATTAAAAGAGAGCATCATGTTGCAATTGTTGTCCAGATCCCGGTACGCAGTACAACTCGAGGACCTGCAAAATCCAAACGTTGTACGTCAGCTTCAGGGATCTGAAGTGGCAGGTAAGGCGGCCTTACTTTACGGCACATCGAAACGCTCCAGCCTCTCTGGAGTGGCTCGCTTGATCCGGCGACCGATCAATTATTTATTTTTCCAGGACTGGATCATAGCACCGGACGGATACGACGCATATTATTGCAGCGGGGAATGCAATTTCCCTTTGAACGCCCATATGAACGCGACCAATCACGCGATCGTCCAAACGTTGGTGCACCTGGTCAGCCCTGGTAAGGTACCAAAGCCTTGCTGCGCCCCTACCAAGCTCTCGCCGATCTCAGTGCTGTATTTCCTCGACGAAAGCAACGTTATACTGAAGAAGTACAAAAACATGGTCGTGAAGAGCTGCGGTTGCCATTGATCGGCCTCGATTACAGGCACGTGTGTTTCCAGCTGAACCGCGAATCGCGACGCCGCGCACCTCAATCTCGACGGTAGAATCGGCCGACTGAATCCGCGCAATCCGGTATTTGCCGATCCAGTAATCTGCTTTCGATTCGTCTTTCTTTCTTTCTTTCTTTCTTTCTTTTCGATCGAGTTACGGGGAGGATGATATCGTTCACGCGTTGTTGAAGATGTAAAAATGGATATTCAAGAAAGATCGTGGAACACGACGCACCACGGATTGGATCGGTCTAGATGGGCGGCAATCGAAACGAAACCGCTGGATTGCTCGATTTTCGGCTCGATTTTCGGCTCGATCGAAAGGGAGAATGTGTTTTGCGCCCACGCGAAAACGACGAATGCCGATCGATGGCCGGTTATAACGAGCGCCGCAAGAAAATCATCGGTCGTCTGGTGCCAAATTCTCGACTATAGTAGATAGTGTAATTTCTCGAAACGAGTGCTTCCGTACTAACGATCGTTAATAATAATAATAATAATAATAATAATAATAATAATAATAATAATAATAATCTCGTCGCTGGCAAAGGTGAATATTCGAATATTTGGGAAACGATCGATCGACGAATACGTGCAATTCCGATCAACCAGATCTTTATCCGGTTTTAGTGGATATCGTTGTAATATACGTACGTAACAATCGAGGGTCACAATTTTTATTCGATTTATTCCTTTCTTCCTTTCTTCTTCTTCTTCTTCTTCTTCTTCTTCGTTTTTTTTTTTTCGATTTTAAATATCTCATCCAACGTTCAAACGTTCGGTCAGATTAATGTAATCGTGTAATATGATATTAATTTAATGACTCGAACTGTTTCTGAGGAGAAAAAAAGAAAAGAAAAAAAAAAGAGAACTTGGTCTATCGTATCATCGCTGTTGGCGAAGAAATAAAAAAAAAAAACGCAACGCACTTGTATCCGCGTTTTCGAAAGTATTTATGCACGTAAACCGGCATAAAGAGCAAAAAAGATATCACTTTTTCTTGTAATTAGACTTATTTATGTTTGTAAGTAATGCGTCTGATCGAGCGAATAAGAGCATTCGTGTTTAATAGTCGTACGTCGTACAGTGCTGTTTCATTAAGATGGCACGAATCCACCAAGTGAGAGAGATTCTTCGCAAAAAAAAAAAAAAAAAAAAAAAGAAAGAAAGAATCTAATCGATTCTCGATTTACTTAGCGGAAATCGAATCGATCGAGAATCTAATTCCATCGTACGAAACGTAGTCTACAGAGTAGTCGGGTAATGTTGTCACCTTGATATTTTTTTTTTTTTTTTTTCTTTTTATGCTACGAAGAACGAAGAAGAATTTATATATAGCGAATACTGCGTGGTACAAAATTGTATGGTACCAAGTATTACGGTATGATATACCTAGTTTTTACTCGTTATTTATTAGGAAGAGAGAAAAGATTTTTTTTTAAAAGAGAGATGTTAGAAGATTTTATTAATCGTCGTAAAGAATTTTAACGCGTTGATTAACTGATGATAAATCCACAACAGTTTATATTACTTTTAAATAGTAATGATTTTATATTCGTATATTTCCTTTTAATTTCCTATCCCATCTATGTGATAAACACCATCTCTAGTATTTATCACGTACGATATTGAAATTGAATGGTTTTGGAATTGAAAGGGAATCCAATTCAAATCTAATCAAAACTGTTGTGATAAAAATAATAACGATAATTGCAGACAATCAAGTTCTCAGTCAATTAAATTAATTTAATATCGATCATACGATCGAATCTTTTCCATTGTATAATTATTGTAAATTAAACTTTTTCTCCAGCTTCTTCCTCGTTCCGAGGAACGTCAATTCTCTGTAACAAAAATTTTATTTGCTTATGAAAAGGAAAGATTCATCGATGATCAAATATTTTTTTTTTTTTTACTTTACTAAAGTAAAAATAAAAGTAATAATTATTGGAGAAAAAAGAAATATTTCGATATAAATAATACGTGTAATGGTATATTAATAACGTAACGCGCGATATAAGCAAATAAAATAATATTAAAGAGGAATCCAAGTAAAAAAGATGTTATAGAGGATTAAGATGGCGACAGTTACCGAACCACCCTGTATATACTTGCACACCCATGTAACTCAACTTTCTATGTACATGTATGTAGAGTGTAAATGTATTTATATATACGTATATAGAAAGTGGAAGACTCTTTAATTTTGTCGCGAACTTTTATCTAATGCGCGAAAGGCAATCAAATTTTTGAATAAAAATATCGCAAATACAAACATATTCTTCAACCGGAGCGAAATATCACGTGCAACGAGAATTTATTAATTAACGTGTCCACTGCCGAACGAATTTTTTTCTTTATCTGTGCGCTGTGTGTACCAACATACGTATTGTCGAAATATTTTGAAAAATTTCCTATTTGTTAATTCGCCATACACGTATGCACATCGTAAAATCCCGTCTTAATCCCGATTAAAATTCATAAATAAGCGCAGTGAACGTGTTAAATCGAACGAATAGTTTTTTTCCGCCCACTCTTACGTTTTCCTTTTTTTTTTTTTTTTTGTATAAATTTCCATTTTTTACAAGCTCGTAAGAAACATAGAAGAATTATAGTCATACTTAATCGACACACGCGTGAGATTAAAAGTTTTAAATTATTCCGACGCGAAACTCGATTGTGCTGCCGCCGCTGCTCGAGAAATATGTGTCAGCGTTGTTTAAAAAGCGATTAACGAGCGTTTAACCGTGTGAATGGGAATGAAGAAGCATAGTCCATTTTAGCTCGTGGGATGCGTGAATGCCTTTGTGAATGCGATCACAAATCAATCGATGAATATAATAGTCTGTGGTATCATTAACACAATTTTTGTAATGACAATGTAAATATATCGTTGTAAATACGTTCTATAATACATACTACATATAATGTGTACAATGTATTTGTGTCAATTTCTTTTTTACCATAAATCAAATCATTTATTACTTAGATAAAGTTCTACATTGATCTCATGATCCTAAAGCGCAAATGCTTCGATAAAGTAGAATCTATATATCTATATATATCAGTTCTATCTGTAGTTTACTTCGTTCGTAGATAACCAAAATAGTCAAAAGGAATTTCGCATAATCCAAACTGAAGATATTTCGCAATTTTTAGCTCGATGTTTTACTTTTTTAAAGTATTACGAAGTCAATGGTAGGCATACGATATTTAACTTTAGCCGAATAAATAAAGATATCGATCGACTCGGACCCTCGACTGACCACCGGAAGTAGAGCACTAACCCGACGATTCCTGTTACTATTGCATGCACAGTCACTCAAGAAAGAACGAGTTAATAAAAACATGATGACATTTCAAGTGAACGTAGAAATATAAAATAGAGAAGAAAAAAATAGAAAATCGTTCAAATAATTATAAGATAAAGCATTCAAAACAAGAAACACTCGATTGAAACGAGAATAAAATCAGTAAAAAATACAAGACAATTTATTTTTCGCTTCAAATTAGAGAACTATCTTTGTACGAAATGCGTCGTTATATCTTTTACAACATATTTAAAACTAAGATATATGCATATTAATTCTGAAAGATAATTTATATAATTAAAAGCGATAGAGAAGAAAATAGCAATAAATGCACTATACAAAAATTGATAAAATCTTCGATAAAGAAAGTGAAAAAAAAAATAAAAAATGAAAAATAATTGAAAAAATATTGGAAGAATATTATACAAAGTTTCCTGATAGTTGTATTTCAATCTAATAATAATAATCCAATAATTCGTGTAAGATTTAGATTGGATTAAAAATTTGTGTAATTTTTTGCTTGATTTTATAAAGATAATTATTAATAAAATATTATAAAAAATACTGAATTTATACGAAAATAAAATACTGAATTTTAACGAAATATATATTTCGAAAAGAGAATTTTGGAAAATCAATTATCAATTTCGCCAAATGATGAGAAAATGATTACATATTGAGATCTATTTGAAAAGAATATAATTCTATTAAAACGTTTTTTTAATCGATAAGTTGTATAACGATGTAATAAAGTTAATTAAAAATTGACACCATCTTATGAATCTATGAATATGTGAAATAAATATAGATAAGGAAAACAAATAGTGTAAGAAGGATAGAGATAGAATAAAAATACTGAAATCAGCGCCATCTGCAGAGTGCCGCAAATAAAACGTAGAAAAAAGTGAGAGAAGGATAGAGATATGGTAAAAATAAACTATTCGCGCCATCTCTTGATTTATTTCACAATCTTGATAAAAATAGTTTGAATTTTGAAACCAAGAGATGGCGCTGATTCTCAATTCTTCGTTCTTTTTACTTATTTTTTAAATATTTTAACGATTTTCTATTTTTTTTATAAGTTTATATATTCTTTTAATTTATTTATGTCTTTTTTCTTATATCTTTCATTTTTTTTTTTGAATCCAAAAATTTAATCAATTTCCATAATACTGAAAGAAACCACTTTATATACATAATTTTCAATACAATTTTATATACACTATTTTCAAAACGCGATTTTATTTTTCATTTTCAAAATGTAACGCTAATATGAAAAATAATTAATATGATCGAGATGGAATAATATCGCTAACTCAAACTACATTGAAACCCATATTATTAAAAAATTTATTTATTACTATATTGTAAAAGAACAAATATAAAATTTAAAAATATATAAATTTAAAAAATTTATAAATAATAATATTAATAAAATAATTAGAAAATAAATGAATAAATAAAGAAATATAATAAAATAAATATAAATTAAAAATCAAAGAATAAATATAGAAATAAATAAATAAAAGAATAAATGAATAAATAAATGAACGAAAATATAAATTAAAAAAATAAATGAAAAATAAATGAACAAATAAAAAATCAATTGACTAAATAAATGAGTAAAAATAAAATTAAATAAATATAGAACTAAACAAATATAAATTAAATATAAATTAAAAAATAAATCAAGGAATAAATATAGAAATAAATAAATGAACGAAAATATAAATTAAAAAATAAATCAAGAAATAAATATAGAAATAGACGAATTTATAAATGATTAAATAAATAATGCAATAAAAAAATATTATTTTTTAGGAGTTAGATGAATAAATAATATATAATATATAACAGCAATATTAGATGTTAATTTCGAATAAAAATAATATAAAAATATAAATAAATAAAAAATATTATAAAAATAAATGATAAAATTATTGTTATAAGAAATTAAAATGTTATAATATCGATCCTTATCTTACGAAAGTTCGTTAAGAAGTAATCAGTCTCGCGACTTACCTCGTATTTATAGGTCCCGAACATAACCGAAGTTCGTCGAAGACATACGTTCTTTGACGAATATACTTTTGAATATATTGATCAATTATTTAATAATTTTGATTATTAAATTGTTAATTTATATCTCTAATAAATATTTTATATTATAAATATAATAATTAATATAGAATTTTTATAAACTAAAATTAGATTTATTGTTTTGTAATATTAATTTTCGATTTATAGTTGTGTTAAAATATTTTAAGTCATTTTATATGGTTTTATAATGATTTAGGTTTATAATAATCAATGATTTATAAATTTATAAATTTTTATTATTTATTTAATTGAAGCAAAAAATAAATTCTCGACTTAACATAACATAAACTACTGGTAACCTCAACGATAATGATTGACATAAAAAATGCATAAAGCAATTCAAAAACATTAATTATTTTTATCACTATAATAATAAATAGATTATTAAATAAACAAAACTAATAGTGATTTATAAATTTAATAACGAAATATGAACAGAATTGCTTACTATAT